CTCTCTCTCTCTCTCTCTCTCTCTCTCTCTCTCTCTCTCTCTCTCTCTCTCTCTCTCTCTTTGGCCCGCGTGCACATGTGTTGGACGTGTTGCGTCATGCGTTTATCATGTTGAGGCCTATGGGCTCGCGGGGCAAATGAAGTGAGGCCGCGTGAAACAAACTTATTTGTAGTCGTCCCACTTCGCCCCCCAGCATCCCGCCCAAGCCCGGTACCCCAAAAAACGACCTGGCGGACTTCGGCCCATAATGGGGTTGGTTTTTTTTTTTTTTTAATTAAAAATTAAAAATAAAAATTTTCAGAGGGCATTAGGTGGACCCCAACAAGCCACTGTACCACCCCAACCCCTCAGAAACCCCGTACCCCCCACCAACCACGCGTCCGAGTTCGCGGACCCCTTTTTTTCCTGAATAACTGATGCGAATTCAACGTGCGTTGAATTATTCAATGCGGAACCCGCGTTGGATCCAAAATCAGAGACATAAGGGGCCAACTCTTGGCGAAAAGCAAGTCTAGTAAGTCTAATTATCGTCAGTTCTGCGACCTTGCACTCCATAAGGAGCAAATGACTGCACAGGTGAAGGGCACCTATGTGTCCGTTGTACGAAGTGGTCCGTCAAGTTTGTTTCGAAAGGGGAAGAGAGTCATGTGGCGGCAAAGGCGACAAGATCACACCCTCGTCCTCTTTGATGACGACAGTGTTGAGAAGTGGCCCCTCGATGAGGCCAAGGGTGGAGCAAATGGTGGCTGTGAGTCCGGGAAGGGTGACGTCACTACCATGGTGGCCAACAAGGGAAGCACCAACTGAATGGAAACTTCAAGAAGAGGAGACTGCGCTCCTTCCCTGAGCATCCTGGCATAGCGGTTGGGCGGCCTTGGGAAAAGATGAGTCTGTCACAAGAGGAGCGGCAGGAACAGATAAATCATCGGCAGTGCTTGAAGAGTGGGATTGCAAAGCACATTATCACATGGTGTCTTCTCATCCGGAACCCAAAAGGGAGCAGCCAATATGAGTAGCGTCTGGTCGTACCGAGTTGGAGGTTTTAGACAAAGGTAAGGCGCTCGAAACCCCTTTCATCCCCAAAATCGCATGGCAGAGTATGACTCTTCTTCGGCCCATTGTCCAAAACACCCCGAAATTATCTTGTGTTATGTCTCTCATGGCGATACCCTTGACGAACTTGGTAATCAACTGATTGCTTAAAGAAGTTCGCTGGCTAAGAAAGTGAAGTCTAAGGTTGTACTTATGATGACTGACATTGAGATTGCACGCATACGAGCAGGTGCTTTGCTAGATCCAGGGTCAACGTGGTCCTACATCTTAGAAAAGGCAATTCGTAAACTGCATTTGAGAATGAAAGTAAAGGATCTTCCGCGACCTAGCATGGTAATATGCATCTGATATCACCTCAAGGGCGATTTCTTAACTCTTTGATTTTTTTTTTTGATTTTTTTTTTTTGATTTTTTTTTTTTGATTTTTTTTTTTGAAACTCTTTGATTTGTGAGATGATCTCTGGCCGTCGCAATTACTTCAAAACTATTAAAGTCTGTCGTTTAAATTGAGAAGATTCAATACCAGAATGTGGAGTTGGTGACAAGTTGACAACTACTACAAGCCCACTGCTACAGTGCCATAACACTTTTACACGTCCACGACAGCCAATGATGGCAAGACGTCCAGTGCATACGGGGTCTTGCTCTAAGATACCTTTCGCTGAATCTAATGAATGTTCCACACATCGAAATATTAGCAGTTTCAGGTCTTGGCCCGCACAGTGACTTTCACCTGCCAGCACGTGAAAGATTTGAACACCTTACAGCCTGCTGGCTGTACGCGAGGCAGAACACGTTCCATGTAACAGTTAATAAGCAGATGAGGAGCTAGAATTCTACCCAATACTACAATGCTAGTGGCTATCTTTCCCTAAGACACAAATTAATTCATACATATATTTTAAAATAAGTATTAAAATTTACAGTTCCTCATCCTTTCCCTCACTCTGGGAGCACTTCGTGATTCTCTTGTGACTCAGGATCATCGTCCTTGCCGATGGTATCCTCTGCCTCTGAGATCGCCAGAACGTACTCCATGTCCATGGTTCTGATCAAGAAGTCCCATCCTACATCGAGAAGCATGCTGTGGAAGCGCTGCACGATAGATCGCATTGCCGGCCTCGACCCATAGTCCTCATGGACACATTCCCACGGCAGTCTGAAAGTGTTCATCACCATCTGCCTCGTAGAGTCTACCGCCATCTGATTCCACAAACAGCAGTCAAGAATACCACGTGGCATGTCCAGGCTTGGGTCTTGGGCTGTTTCACTGTCCCCCCGAAGGAAAGGCTTCACCCACTCCACCAGTGTCTGCCATCCCACCCCATAAGTAGCCCGTGCGACTACCTTTCTTGCTGTCAGCAGCTCCAGGACAAGAACACATCATTCTCCTCGGGCAGCTCGCCCCTGAGCATGTACGCCGGTGACATGTACCCAGAGGTGCTACCAATGTGGGATGTGATCACACATGGTCGTGTCCTGTGTCCAGCACTCTCTCCCCGATGGCCGCCAGTCCGGAATCAGCCAGGACTACGTAAAGTTTGTCCCCACAGCCATCGCCAAGCAGGACGTTGCTGCTCTTGATGTCCCGATGAATGATGGGAGGCTTGGCATCATCGTGTAGGTACTGGAGCCCCCTTGCAATCTGGAAGCCAATGCTCATGCGCTCCTGGAGAGTGAGCGGCGAAGGAGAATCCTCTGCGAGTTCCCTCTGGTTAGCGGTGTGAGGGAACAGCCGCTCGTGCAAGCATCCGCCTCTGAAGTACGGGTACACCAAGATGCACTGGTTGCTCTCCTGGCAGTAACCAGTGAGCTGGATGAGATTGACGTGATTAACTGCACTGAGAGTGTCCACCTCCGCCACGAACTGGTTCCGTTTCACGTCCGTCAGCTCACCGGTCATCAAGTGATTACCACGTCCTTGCCGTCGAGCGAGCCCTTGTAGACTTTCCCAAACGCCCCTTTGTCCCCAATGCGACAGATAGGTCTCGCTAAGATTCTCCGCGCAATCCGACAGCAGTTTCCAACCAAACTGCTTGACGCGTGCGGGCCTCAGTCCCCAGAAATCCATAGCAGTGCAGATGAAGTCGTCGGCCGGCCGTTGATAACGGCATGGTTAATACCGACCTGTTCCAGAGCAGGACGTCGACGCTCTAGAAAACCGCGAACGCCAGACGCTACGCAAACTGCTACTACGAATCCGAGTAACATCAGAGCCATATATCCAAATACGTAGGGTCCGTCGAGTGGAGTATCAGTCAAGTAGGGTACAATGTTTAAAATGAAATAGTACATGCCTGCGAGTCCTGACGGAAACAAAATGTCCTGAAAAAACTTCAGTGAACGTGAATATCCGTCGCTGAGTACACGTCCCGTGTACGGTTCGTTTCCACAACGGCTCAGTTCCGACCCGTTCATAGGAGTGCAGTCCTGTACGGATGAAGTCATCGGCCGGCCGGTAACCGCATGGTTATTACTGGCCTGTTCCAGAGCTCCACGTCGACACTTTACGAAACCGCGAACGGAAAACACGGTGCACCTTATTATTGCTATTGCTATAAAAAGCGGAGGAGAATATAGAAAGATGAGGACTAGGTCGTATGTAGTACCCCCCAGGGAGGACACACCACTTACCATGGCTATAAGTGAGATCATTGACGGAGGCTTAAAAGGAAAGAACATTAAACGGAAATATCGGTCGCTGGGATCTCGGTCGCTGTACGCTTCGTTTCCACAACGGCTCAGTTCCGACCCGTTCAGCGGAATGTGATACACGCTGCCGTCGCTGGTTCCAACGTAGAGGCTTAAGCCGTCGCTGTAGTTACCGAGTGCCAATGCGGTAACATCTGCTTCTCCGAAATAATGTGGGAGTACCCGCTTCTCTTTGAGACTACTGCAGGGCCCCATGAGTTTGAAGACCGCAACTGTGTTGTCTGCGGCCGTGAACACGTGACACCCTTGAGCCGTTGCAACCACGTCCATCTCTTTCCCCAGGACAGGAACGGAAGGCGCTGCAATTGTAGAGTGGACGAAATGTCCATCCCCAAGCTCCCTCCCTAGCAACCCGTCATTAGAAGTCACGGAGTAAAGGCAACTGCCGTCAGAGGGAAGGCTTCCAGATTGGAACTCCTCGTCAGGATCGATACCCGTTTGGATGTCCAAACGGGACAGCTGGTTCAGAGGGCCGTTTGGAAGCCCGACATCATTAACGGTGACGTTAATTAATACGGAATCGGATTGCAAATAGTAAAGAAAACCCTTGTTAGACTCTAACGCCCACGCCTGGACAAAATCGCTCAAAGGGCCGGATGACGACCGAGAGCCGTCAGCGAGCGACAAAGATGTGAACCTGGAGCGATTTTGGTCACCAGATATGGTTCCATTGCCCCGCATTACTTTTGGGTCTCCATTGGTTACGCTCAAGACGAGATGCATCCCATCTTTCGACAGACCCATTCCTGTCACGTGAGCATCTCCAAAATCCGCTGGTTCGCGGATTATTGTCCCATTCGGCTGCCCGTATGGCCACATGTAACTTGTCAAGGAGTCGTCCTCCTCCTGCGGGCTCGGACTGTTGCCGTCCTGCACCTGCGATAAGTTCAGTCTCCTAATCGACAACGCCCGATCCTCGAGAGTACCATCCACTTGGCAGTACCGGTGCATCACCCGAACCGACCACCAGGTCCGTAATTACTGAACGGCAATCTTTCCCCGCCGTCCCATTCGTCCGCGGGGTATGCAACGTCACGCGCGTGATGGAACCGTTTACAAACGGCGAATACTCTATCTGCCGCTTTTCCTGCGGTGCTGCTGGAGCGGCACTCGTCGACTCCTGAAGGAGGCGATCACCCGCGTGCCATCTGGGCTCGGAGGCGAGACTCCGAATCCCGCTTCCAAGAGCTGATCCCCCCCACGCTGTGAGTACGAGGACCAGATAACAGACACACACCATAGTGGCTGCTGCTATTGCCATCAAATATACTGTGACCAATCGCGCGCGGGCAAAGAAATCGACACGAAGACGCCTGCACTGATCACATTAAGCGATGTAATGGTCCGTAACAGGACAGGAGAGCTTCGTATCCCCAACGCGTACAGCTCTTCAACCACGCTTAGGATTCACGTGAGAAAACCCTCCGCCCCAAGCAAAACTGTTTCTATACTTCCCAACTGAAGTCGCCTTCCCTTCCTGAACTACAACTCCCTACTCTTCATGCGCAAGTCGACAGAGTTTGTGCATACTCACATTAATTGGATTGCCTGGACTGAATCCATCCCTGAAGAAGGACAAATGCAGCCGGCACAGACCCAGTGGGAGTGTTTGCCGTCGCTGAGCTAGCACTCTAACGCTGACTGGCTGTGGTGTCGATGGAGGTTCTGCCAATCTCTTCTATTCTGCGAGCCGTCAACAGCCACGTGGCGACACGAAGCACGGTCACCCGCGGGCATCGAGCGGCTCAATCAAGCACCAATTACGATCCAAAAATGAACTAAACAAAAAAAGAGGGGGTGAATTCATCCCTCGAGCTCATCCGCGCTCAGCCGCTATTCCTATCCTTTGCTTCCCCGCGGTCGCTGCCACCATGATGGTGTTCCCGAGGGTTTCGACCGATCGCGGCGGTCGACAGGTGAACCTAGCAAAGGTCACAAACCAGAGAATGCGGTACACGCAGCGTTTGCTCACCGTAAATCGATATCACGTCGTGACAAAAAAAAAGCAAAAAAAAAAAGCTCTTTGCTATCCCAAAATAAAAAAGACTGGATGTCGACGGTCACGCAAACGCAGTTGCGTCGTTGCTGACAAAATAATAATCAAATTCAGAGAGTGAGGAGATGGGACACGTGGCGACGGGAGAAGCGCCGGCCTTGTACCGTTAGAAAAGGCGGCATCACTATGGCGGGCCGTCGCTGACTGTGCCCTGCAACATATCCCTGAAGATGCGTCGGGCGACAGTGTGACAAGTAAGGATCTTCTCAGAGCGAGCGAGCAAACGCGCGCGCGCTAGAGAGAGAGAGAGAGAGAGAGAGAGAGAGAGAGAGAGAGAGAAAGGCGGGCGGGCTGTAAGGTACTCTCAATGGGGAAGCTTACGAAACGGAACTTCGACGTGTAATCTCGTGTGCAACATAGTAGTCGAGTATACAAGCGCCAGCCAGTGCACGACTATAGCAGAGTATGCTTTTGCGATGTAGTTGCCTTGTCCCGCCAACGTGACAACTGACGGCGGGGAGAGAGAGAGAGAGAGAGAGAGAGAGAGAGAGAGAGAGAGAGAGAGAGAGAGAGAGAGAGAGAGAGAGAGAGAGAGAGAGAGATGGGAGGGGATGGTGTACAGATTCTGTGGGCAGTGTACTCGAAGCGTGGCAAGCGGTGCTTGGTAAGGCCAATGGATGGATTGACAAAAATATCGGGCCTCGATACAACCCCTTAGTGTGATGGTGGTGAACCTGTCTTGCCAAGATAAAGCGCAAAGATAAAGTCGAGATTTTCACGTTTTGGGAGTGGTGGAGCGAGACGGAGACACGAGCAGAGGCCAATGGCAGCTAGAGGAGCTTGCATCCCTCGGGAGTGCCTCGTCCTGGGGCCTCGCCCCACATGCCATAGAATAGTTTAGTAAACTAGTCTGTGTGACTGTGTGGGACAGTTAGGAAGTCTTGATTTTATTTTATATGGAGGGTAGGATGATGCATCCCGCCATCTAGGGCAGGGAGCCGTAAGGCTCCGTTTTGTCATTGGCTTATAGTTGCTTTAGGGGTCCCGTGCGGAATGGAGGGAGAGGCAATACGGTGTAGTTTACTGACCTCTTTTTTATGGTTTCGAATACTATTCGTCTTTTGGCTGCTCAACGAGTCTGACGGGGACTCCAAGGGTGTTTATGGCCCTCGCTCTGTTGGTGTGTGGACATGCGGGAAAAAGAGTTGGGAGTCCTTTATTCAAAGTTGAAAAAACTCTGAGGCCGGGAATCCTCAACAAACAACCCGGTTGTTAACAATCCAGCTTCAGTTCGCCTACAGAGGTTTCCGGCTCACAGTTATGAGATTCTCGCCAACCTGAGCAACAAACATGTAAAGGTCTATCGAGCCCTCAGCTCTTCTGATCTAACCCAGTCTATGTCAACTTAACACCATTTAATCCTAGTCCATTGCAGGTCTAAACCTACCTGCTGGGCCACTGCCCCCTTATGACACTCCAACCATTCCACCCGGGTAAGCAGAATAAACCAACCAACCCAACAGTCCTGGCAGCCTCCTGCGGCTAATTGGGGAACCGAGTGTCCTGGTACCTACATCTAGCCTACCCCTCAAAACCCAACTCCCTACTAAAAACTCCAAACTACTAGCTACTTCAACCACGAACGAAATTCCAGTCCCCCATTATTACTTACTCTCACAATCCATTTCGAGGCACTACTGCGCGCCCAAGTCCTTTCAAACCACCTGTGGCCTTTTCCCAAAATCACTCTCTGCTCGTTCCTTCTGTGCCAGTCCGCCTTAATGTACTGTCTGAGTCTGGATCTTATCTGCAGCTTGGTTTCCGTGTCCGAAGTGCCTTGCCCCTGGAAACAGGCTTTGTTTCTGTTATCCCAGATGACTGAGCACAGAATTGCTCTGCATGCCTGCACTACGTAACCACATCCCTCTGAAGGGACCACCGGAGCTGGGAGTAGGCCCTGCAAAACCCAAACTTTGTCCCATTCCCAATCCCAGGCCGCAAAGTGTTTCCAGTGTACCGCCCACCAGGCCCAAATCCGCTTCGATGCGGGGCAGTCCCACCATAAGTGGGCTGTCGATTCAAAGGGCCAGGTGCACCTTCTGCATCCCAGGTGGATGTCCATTCCTTTGCCAACTAACCAGACTGCAGATGGGGTGATCAGAAGGGACAGGAGCCACAGCAGTGCGGCGTGCCTTTGGGACGGTAAATGTTTCAACTGTGCCCAAAGTCTACCCGCATTTGATAACATTTTTGAGCCCGAACCTGGGATCTGTGTATCCCACTGTTCTGCAGCCACCGTGGCAGGTCTCCTTTGAGGAAGCAACAGTTCGGAAGAGGACTTCATTAAGGTCAGAGGTAACATGGACCCTTCTATGCCAAGGCCTCTCCAACCCCACGCCTGTGTGTCCAATTTCTGATCTGCCACGGGAATATCATTATAAGATAAAACCTTGTGCTTGTCTTTATCGTCCCAGCTCTCAATAGCTTTGATCTGCTGCAAGAGACTGCCGAGCGGCGGCCTATTAATCTCCAACTTCCAGTGAGTGGTATGGGATGCCTCCACTGCCGTTCCTTCAGAGTCGGAGCTGTTGTCCATGGGTTCGTTGCAGAGCAGATACTTCGAACCTGATACCTTATCCCATCTCTGGAATTCCCTGGACCCCGAGGAGGAATAGGAAATCAGCTTCCAATAAACAGGTAGGTCTGGGATCTCTCTGGTGACATACCAGGTGCCCGGAGGATCCACCGCTGCCGGAGTTAAACGCTCTTTCCATGATCGAGGGATTGCAGCGATGTGGCTGCAGAGCTTTCCTTCGATGTCTTGCAGCTGACCCAATGTCTGTTTAATTTCCTCTGCCGATCGCCAGCCTCCTGTTAATGTGTTCCAGATGTCTCTGACACGGAGAATTCCTCTACAGATCCACTTCTCTCCAAAAGCTCCTGATTCTCTGTTGGCTTTAAACAGTTTATCATGTCCATCCCTGATACGCGGATAATCAAACAGAGGTTGATTGAGCACTTCCACTTCGGTGGATGGCTCTGCCCATTCTGTGGGCTTCACCTTCTTCCATGCGCTGATCACTCCTGCGCAAAAGTTAGACTTTATTTTTTTGTTGAGAAAGGAATCCAACTGGAGACAAAGCCAGACATCCTCCTCTCGTGCTAGGAGTGTTGCAACCCATATTTGTGAGAGGACGTCTGACGCCCCAAATGAGAAGGGGACAGAGGACCGAAGAGTTCAGGAAGAAGTTGGAATAGCCCCACTGCCCCCTGTGTCTGACTCAAACAAAAAGGAGTGTGATGACAAGGGAACATCGTCAGCTATAAGTCGAGCTGGACGAAGGAATAGAAGAAAGCGAGAACGGTGGGCGAGGATAGTATGTGCTTGCTGTGGAAAGACTGGTCATACCCCTCGCAGATGTTAGATGGCGAAGAAAGGAATTTAGGGGTGAGATTGTCTACCTAGATGAGAATGGTGTCAGCGATCTTAAGTGACTAATAGATAGACACTCAAAAAGTCATGACAGGGCGGTAGGTTCGATTGATAGAACTAATGAGCGATTATCTGCTTATGCTGTTTTTATTTTCAATCCTATGAGTTTCATGAGACATAGGTCCTTTCTTGTATATATATTTTTTGATAACGAGGGTGTGTTTCTACTTTTAAGGTTGCGCGTATATTTTGAATTTGATTATCCTCTTTTTAAGTCGGCTTAGCCTTGCCAAATACGAGTGGAGATCTCTTAAGAAATTGTCGTCTATACGCTGTCGAGCGCATCGGTCCGGCACCGCACCAGGGCAGCGCGGGACCCTCTCGGCCGCGTCACGCAGGAGTTGGTTTGAATCCTTCGTCGCGAACATACATGAAGCTTCAGCAAGCCGCTCCGACCGAGTGCGTCAGCCATACCTCTCGCGAGCCCCTATGACAGGATAGGGCATACGCGAGGCACGACTTACCTACACCTTACGGGAGTTGTCACCTCCCTTCGGTGGGCATATCCCCACCGAGCTACCAGTCCACAGTACGAAAGCTAATCAATT